GAGCCTCAATGTCACAGTTATTTAGCATGGTATATGATCACAGGTTGTACAGTATACATTTAAAACTAAGTATACCTGGTCAGGTAACACTTGGCACAGAGTAGGAACCAAACAAGCAATAAGGGCCCCATCAAAGAAAAAGAATGGAGTACTTATTGCCCACAGAGAAACTGTTATAGCACTGATGATATCCTCCAAGGTAAGATGGAAATTTGCAGTCAGGGACATGTAAGGGTAACAGATCTGATGGGAAGAAAACATGAAAAAGGTGACAATCATCAGGAGAAAAGGAAGAAAACACCAGGTGAATTAACTGGCAAATCCAACCTGTAAGAGTAATGGAAGAAGTGAGGACTATACGGAAGAAACAAATAGACTCGGAAGGGAGCAGTGCATGTCATATACCATCAAAGAGCCCTGACCAGGCAAAGGAGGTGGGTGGGATCGGAATGGACATAAAAGTGGGAAATGGGTGTGAAAGTAGAATTACCCTCTTGAGCAGCAAATTCTTAGACATAAAGGAATAATCAGAAAAGAGGAGAGAACATAGGCACTATGAAACAAAATGAGGTAAACCTCAATCGCAAACACATCAAAACGATGACATCCACATGACAACAAGAGCAGGAACATGGACTTTGAGGAAAGGTGATATAATGAATATGAAGACAAATGGAGGATAGTGAACAGTATGGAGAACCACATTGAGGTGCCAATCAGGAAGGGAAGCAGAGTGGGGAGAACAGGAAAAGCAGAAGGAACAAAACAACATGGATAAGACTGGCAACTGGAAAATACAAGCAAATTCATTAAACTGAAACATGGCAGTTAATACTGTCCTATAGCCCACAATAGTCAAAATCAAAAGGCCCCATTAAAAAAGCCAGAGTAAAAAGGATGGTATGTAAGCAACAATAGGATGGAAAGGACGATAACTCCTTCAAACAGACCAACAGTAGTACATGTACCACATACGTTGGCAAACTGTCATGGAGGAAGGACAAACAGGACCAAAAATACAGGAAGTTACATGCAAAAGTCTGGCTCTTCTGGCAAGTGACTGGACAAAAACCACGTGTGAAGATAGAGTGCAAAAACAAATGGATGATGCATGCCAAAGTGGGGCTGACGGAGAGGTGTCAGAGAGAAAGGGGAGTCAACACAAAAAACTGGTGCTGCAGTGGAAATCACATGTGAGCCAGCCAATATGGAGCCACCAGCAAAACACTAATGTACTAAATGTACTTGATGTACTAAACATTATTTAGTACATCAAATATTTGTTCTTTTAGTTTTGCTAATAATTAGCTCTCTGCATAGCATTTTCAATAAGTATTTGGAAGAGAAAGATGAAAACATTTTCTCTACCACAGACTAACAATGACTACTTTGAGTCTTCTTAGTATCTTCAACCAGTGAGTTTGACTTGTGCAGATCCTTCTTTTTTGATTACCAGTTATACTTAATTTACTTTACCAAGTTATTCAACACAATAACACATAATTTCAAAGCTGAGAAAAAAAGAATGTATTTCATAAATACAGTGGCTGCTCAGTTGCTCAAAGGCATTCGTTGAGGTTGAGGGATTGAATCCAAGGCAACCCTGTTACCTTGGTCTGTGAAACAAGTTTAGTGTGGAGGGAGGACATCCTATAAACTATTGCACAGTACTATTGCTCCTGTAGCATGCACCTTTACCTTTTTTACAGTTGTTCAAAGCTGAGAAGCTTTAGATATCACTGTTTATACTAGCACCTACTAAAAGCTATCTTTGACACATAGCTAGTAATGACAAAGTAAAATATTATTGTAGCTTTCAAACTTGCCATTTGAAAACCATAATGATATGGAAGACAACAAAATATATGAATGGTTTAAACAATACTTTTAATCATAATTTTATATCAGATTCTAATACAATATTATTCCCTTTATTACTTTTAATAGTGTCCTTAATAAAAATAATATTGTATGGTGTATATTGGGTAAAAACTGTCTAGAAATCATAAATAATCACACTGAAATTCAAAAACATATCACAGGTTTACATTAAAATTAAAAAACTAAAGATCTATCTTCTAAAGTACAGCTTAAAATGCTTTTTTATTATTTGTTTTATTTACTCTTGTTGTGACTTCACAATATCTTCACCACTGAATGGAAACAACATAAATGAAATTCAGAGACTTTAATTACAGATATTACAGTGTCTAAACATTCAGCCAAAACTATGCAGTAATTTCATAATAAAAATGTTAATTATTTACAAATTACCTCAATCTTCTCTGTGATTTCTTCACAGTGCTCTTCTTGTTCTTCTTTTACTGTTTTAAATTCAAAAATAGAATGCGGGAATTGTCGTTCTTGGGAAGCAGTTTCTCCTAATATTAGAGGTAAAATGAAAATACAAGATTGAATAAGCTACATTAAAACAATTTTGAATAAGCAAATCAACAAGTCATGTGTCAATCACAGCTGATATTAATTAATGGTGGAATAGCATGCATCAGAACTACATTGCTACATGTTTGGCATTTTACAGTTAGTGTGATGTCACCAAAAATTCATTGCTTTTTAGGAAAGATATGTAACAGTCCTTTCCAATGCAAACTAATCTTACACTCAGATCATAAAGATGCATTCAGATCAAGAATTTAGAATTTCCAAGAAAGGAATATCCCTTACACTTAATGGTATTGGAAAAACAAAGGAATATGGAGCAACTTGAGTAACCAAGACCATCTAGAAAGAGACCTGCAACAAGCAGTACTCCAGCTGTGATAAAAAAAGTGTGGAGTCTTGTAACAGGTGAAAAACCATGAACCCAAAGGCCAGTGAAAAAATTTATTCATGCTTCCTAGGCAACAGTATACAACATAATCAAGAAGGATCTGTTTGTAAAAGTGACACATGTAAATAAATTGCTTCCAAAAAATTACAATTCAACTACTGTATACCTCAAGAACTGGAGAATAAAACAGGTATTCATGCTATTCCATATAAAGACATATGAATGAAGTTGCTGGAGACAGTGTCTATGAATTTCTGTATTATCAGATTATTGAAACAGGTTCTGAGAAACTGTCTTCTTTATATACTGGATGGCTTATATGGAAAGCTGCAAGAAGGAGGAGTGTACTCTAAAGATTACAGTCTTATGCTGGAGCATTTTGCAATAAAAACTACACTGTAGGGCTATTTTCAAGATGCACAGTTATGAGATAAAGCACGACCAAACACAGTAGCATGGACTGTAATGATGTGATGAGGCTCCAAATGATTTGAAATTAAGATAATGTTTGACATTATAGTGAAACTCCTTAAGAACAGTTTATAAAAACAGAAAAAGGTAAATCTTAAATTTCTGAAAAATGTGTTACATGTAAATTTTTTAAATGACAGAACACATTTAAATGTTATATTATCATAATTAAAATGAATTCGAAGCAGATATTTACCTCTGAATAACTGTAAGCTTTTTTTTTGTTGAATCATTTTCTCTCTTTAACAACCATGTGACTTTTGGTACTGAATGCTCTTGAAACAATGCATTATATGCATCACCTTACTCAAAGTTCTCCACTTTCCTTCCTTCCACATGACTTATTGCCAAATGACAGGAAAACTACATAAGCTCTGCTTTCCCACCACAAACTTGATTGCCTTGTTTGCAGTTGTAATGTCATAATAAGACATTTCTCCTGGTTTTGGAGAGGTGGGTGGAAATGTATTTCAGAGATGGGTATCTACTTGTAATTCACTTTAATTTCAAAAATGTAAAATTCAAATCAGATAGACTTACCTCTGAAATACTGTAAGCCAAAATATCCACATTGAAATGGAAAAGGGGAATGAAGAGTATCACAATAAAATACAAATCACTCACCAGATACTGAGCTCTGGGACAAAAAGAGCAACACAGCCAGATCACAACAGCACTGAGTAGTGAAATCATGCAGAGGTTGAGCCGACTCAGAACCAGAATGACAGACATTGGACTGAATTTGCCTAACAAAATTTAGTGACGAGGACCACTAATAAAGGAGCCTTGACCACAGATGTGAACACCAGAAGGGAAAAGCATTCTTCTCAGCAGAATATGTCTTTGTCCTACATTCATTTTAATTAAAATATAAAGAATAGATTGAGGATTGTGGACATAACTGGGTAACCATGCATTCAAGGAGGACTATGGCCGAATTTAATAACTCAAGGCAGTACAATGGGAACATCATGTAAGGAAGTAAGTGAAAGTGAAAATATACAGCATTCCAGGATGGTATTATTGGTGACAATAAAGTTAAGGCTTTCACAGAAAACTGGGCAAGAGGAACCTCTCACAAAATTTGTATGGCTGCAGGAAACTTCCCTGGAAAAAATTTAATAAAGTTAAATTTTTTTTTTAGCAAACTCATATTGTTAGCACAAATTCTAATGTGACAGAAAATTTCAGAAAAAATATTGCCCTGCAGTGTTCCCCACAGTAGCTGGTGCTATATGACATCAATTCGAGAATGGTAGTCATATCTCTGATGTCTCAAAATACTATGCTACAAAAACATACCTACAGAGGCATCATACACACCTGGAGCCAGAGTACAGAGAGTAAAATAGTGTCTGGGACAACTGCATGAGGTAAAAAACAAATACATAAGAACCCTGACTGGACAAAACCAACTAAATGCAGAGTCTCATGCAACAAGAGAGAGAAACTATGAAGTTTTCTTTTATTAAAGAGTGTAATTAAACTTCTTAGTAATTCCACCTGTCTTGGAGTACCATCACAGGAGAAAATAGAAACCTAAAGCTGGAAAGAAAGCTATGTAATGTAAATAAAAACTTACTCAAATTTATCCACATACTGGCTTGCAGAATGCATTCCAATAGGCACTGCAGTGAGGATGCCAGAGACATTACCAAATGTTGAATTTAGTGACATAAAACCCAAAATCCATTCTTATGGTGATCAGGTACATCACGGAAAACAAGACAGTTCAACTGCAACAGTCAATTTCTTAGTCTTGTTGGAGCACGATTTTTCAAAGCCACTTCAATGATCTGGTGTGTTTCAGATAATAACAAACATCCCTGATGGGTCAGTCAGAACAGGAAACATAAAAGATGAAAAACAGTGGTTGCTTTCCCTTTCAGCCCATGTCTTAGGTAGGAAGGATCTATATGGATACAGGTATAAAACCTTTCAAGAAAATAAAATATACTATGCATAAATGGCACAGATGCAAGCAAAAGTTAAAAAAAAAATATCTTATAGTATAGATGATAAAATGAGCAAGTTGCTAAATGATCAAAAGGAGAAGCTAATAAAGGTAATATTATGCCCAAATCCAACTTTGGACAATGTTTAGGGACTGGGGACATTGTAAATGAAAAGCTCGGAACAGATTTGTGAACAATGGGAACCAAAGAAATTGAGTGAAGTTTCTGTAAAAAGGACTGCTAAAATGCTGTGTGTGTGTGTGTGTGGTGGGGGGGGAGACATGAGTAACTTGTGTTATGTATTAGAATTTCGAATAGCCCAAAGACGAGTTAACTGATAATTTAAATTTAGTAGTTAAATCATACTTTGGATTTAGTATTTAAATATATGCTGATATATTAGTCAATTTATGATATTTGGCAACAAGATTGATACACACTGTTTTCGTTTTTAACACAAATACATTTTAGTATACGCACAACAATACAATTTACAGTAACAATTATTACAATTAGTTATTACAAACAAAGATTTATAAATAAAAAGTTTCACAAACTTACAAACAATATAAAATCTTCTTTCTAGTTTGGAACTCCCTTGATATCTTATCGAGGGTTTACGATGAGCGAGTTAATTATGAGTTGATGTAAGTACGATTCGCTGGGAAGCTAGCTAGCTTTGTCCTTGGCCGCATACACTAGGTTATCCACTGTTGAAGTTAGGTAATGTTTTCATAAAAATACTAATGTCTGATGAGAATCCACTGAAGTTAAATGAGTTGTAATGTTCAAATTTTGTAAATGCTCCTGGTCAAATATCTTAAGTTTTCTGATTGATAAGCGTTATAAAAATCACAGTTATAGCTTTCGAAGTTTATAGCACACTGATTATAGTGAACTACTAATAGACAGTTTCCTTGGCGTGTCACGTTGGTTATATTTATAGCCATGGGAAGGTTTTCTAGAAAATTCAGTCATACGTAACAATACTGAGCTACATTTATTGTTGATTCTTACCCTTGAGAATCTTCTACAACTTCGGAGAATAGGCGGGAGTTTTGCAATACATATCTAACAGTATAAGCTAGGCATGTTTTTAAATATAAACTCAATCTAAACAATGTCGATATTAAAATAAATATATAATAACAAATTTGTTACACTTGCAATACAGAATAATGGACTAGTGTCAAAATAATGTAAAAGGCATGCAGTAACTCCTTAAATCAGTGAGAACTATGAAACAGCAAAAACTGCAAAGTAGAAAATTTATCCTGATTAAATGAATCAGGTGAATGATAGTTGCTGATAGCTGATAACTAGACATGCTGGGAAAACTGAAGATAAGGAAGAAGTTAATATGAAAAACCCCCACCCAAAGAATGATCTGGGGTCTACAAATTGTACAGAAAGATGACCCACTAAAGTGTCATCTGTATGACGAATATAAGTAGTGTGACAAAATGTTAGGTTCCTCTGATTTCTGAAGGTATCAACAACAATGCAAAAATAAAGAGAAGGCAGAAGATATGAGGATTCAAGAACTGAATCACCTAACATAACACTAACTCTCTCAGGCATGTTGCTGAGCAATTTAATCAATTACCTAAAAGCATTCATTAAATTGATACATTTGTCCTAAATTAATTGATTAATTTCCTGAAAATTAATCAACTAATCAAAAATAATTGTTCTGATAATTACTGATTAAACAGGACTTAGTTGAAACCTTGTTATTATGTCACATCAAATGGTTTGATGATTTACTAGTGAAATACAGCAATAAAGGAAGTTTAAATATGATTGGATAGAGCAAGAATTAGGCTATCACATAATGGTAGAGTTGAATATAAAGGTAAGCTTTTTATAGTTTCTGTAAACATTCCTTTCAGTTCCTTTTTATTTGTAAATTTTGAAATTATTTGTCTGTTAAATTATATTTCTTTTAAAGCTAGAAAAATTTTCTTCAATGAGAAGACATCATATAACTTGAGATAAGTTTATACAGTTTAGATATGGGTTGTATTGGTAAAATGAAAACTTTGTTACAAGTTTAACACAGTGACAAATATAAAATGTTTAGAAATGGTTTTGTCATCATCAGGTACAAGTAGTTTAACAAGCCACAGGAATATATATGTACAATATGAAACAAAAAAATCTTATAACAGTTGACTGCTTAATGCTTAATAAAGCTATCTTGTTGATGTTTAATTCAAGTCATAAAAAGCTATTTGTGAGAGTAGGTAAGTTTCTATCAGAAATACATTTTCATTATAGGAAAATTATAACTTCCAATACAGCTAGAATCACACATTGAGAAGGCAGAGGGACTGGTGCGAGGGAACAAAAGAAGTACCCCTGAAAGCATCAGAAGGATACCCCTGACCATGAGAGATATAAATCTGAAGATCAGAAGAGGGGAACCGCACCACTTCTAACCCCGGTATACTCTTTTCCCATGTGTAGATTGTGTAATGCACAATGGTGGAAATTGGGGTGTAGTGGCTAAGGCATGGCAGACCATATTTGGTAAGTCAACTCCATCCTAATCCTCCTTGTAGGATACCAACATTCATGCAAGGGTAGGATGAGGATCATACCGTCTTCACCTCAAACCCATGAATTGGGGATTAATACCTGCATCAATTTCTGGTTATGCTACGAGAATCATCCCCGATCTATCAATCTCGGGATAGACATCTGGTATCGAATAAATGTCTATCACATGTAATCAACTCCCTCATCCGTGGCACAAGCCAGCACCATCCAAAGGCAATAACATTCCTGTAAGAAGAGAATGAGGGATAGTCAAGGATAGCATCGGAACAATCCCACCTACTACCGCTCTGACCAAAAACACAGACAGAGCAATTGGGGGAGGAAAACAGATAACCCATACTCGTGTGAGGATTTATGTTGGTTGGTTCACTCTAATCCAAAACCTCTATGCTGGGAATTGACTTCCACGTGAAGGTAGGATGAGGTCTCCCAATCGAAATGGTAAACTGCAATTGCAACAGCTCAACTCCAGTGTGTATGTAAAGTATATCAGGAGGCCACATCATCCAGTAAGGGGATGGCTCAACTCCAGTGCTTGTGCAAAAGGAAGCAGGAGGCCACGTCATCCTGTAAAGTGACAGCTCAACTCTCTTGATTGTGTCAATAGTATCAGAAGGCCAAATCAACCAGGAAGGCAATGGCTCAACTCCAGTTAGTGTGTAATAGGTATCAGGAGGCCACATCAACCAGAAGGTGATGGCTCAACTCCAGTGGTTATGTAAATGGTGTCAGGTGGCCATGTCACTCAGTAAGGAGATGGCTCAACTCCAGTGTTGTTGTGTAAACGTGATAAAAAGGCCATTTCAACCAGCAAGGTGATGGCTCAACTTTTCTGGAGGCAGAACACTAATGCCCTACTCTCAACTGAATGGTTCAAATATTTTCCTTGTTGAACGTATTCAAGAGGGTGCTTCCTTGGTCAATCACCACAGCAGCTTGGAACTGGAAGTGGTAAGGACTCCCATACTCCACTAGAGGAAAGAAGGGGAACATTTCAGTGGAGAGCTCTGAGGAACATCACCACCGGAGACAGTGCAATGGGTGTATGAAAACATAGGGATCAAGAACAGGTGCAACCCTGCTGATTGAGGTGAGCAACCACTGTTGAATTATCATGATAATCTTGACCAAACAATGTCTGGCCTGATGGAGGAAATGATTCAAAGCCCAATGAACCACAAAAAACTCCAGTGTGGAGTTGAGAAGACTTCTCAGCTTCAAACCAACATCTCGAACCTTTCTGGTGATTGACCCACACCCCCCCATCCCTAAAGAGAAGAATCCACAAAAAGAAATAAATCCAGACAAGGAAGAGGAAGCGGGACACTTGCCAACATGTGGGGCTTGTCCAACCACCAATGTTGATTGTCAACTATGGTAGGAGGAAGGTTAATAAGAGCCTGCAAAGGAACCCATGCAAGAGACCATTAGTCCTGAAGAGTTAGCATATGAGCCCGACCTAAGAAGATAAGTGTAGTCATGGAAGACCATATCGCCAAAAGTGATAGAACCTTGTGAGCGGCAAGAGAGGGAGCAGTAAGAGCGTGGAACTGAAAGCTCCTATGAACAAAGTTGAACAAGTAGAAGTTCGAACCACTCAACAAAAGCATATGAGGCTGAAGCAAGCCTGAAGGGAATATGCAGAGCTGATAAATTACCCCTCAAAGGACAAACCAAAGATAAGGTCACGACAGCCAAGCTAACGTTACATTTAAAGAAACAGTTGTGACTTCCATTTTGGTCATCTGTAAACCTGGAGAAAAATTATTCACAGTTTCAAAGGTCTGTTGAAACAGAAGGTCTTGAAGAGCCTCTGCACGATGTGGGTTGGTAATGAGATCCCAAGGCAGAAGGAAAGAATGGGTATCTGTGGCAAAGAAGGAGGGGAAAAGGTTGGAGGACAAGTCCATCCGAGAGAATCTAAATAACCAACTGATCTGTGAAGAAATATATCGCCAAAGGAGAACAAAGCCGCACAACTGGATAGTCACTAGTACTGAAGGCAGCATGCTAATCTACATTGAAGAAAACAAAAAGATACAGAACCCTTAAAAGAAGGAACACATAAGGACTGAGTAGAATAGGACTGGAAACAGGAATTGGGGCTTGTCGTGAATCTGACAGCAACCAACTAGTAAACCAAGAAGAAAATGGTAGAATGCTGATGCAGGGATTCCACTTCTAATTCCAAAGTGCCCAGGATATGGTCAAAAATATCACCTACGAAAAGAAGGGTGAAACGGAATACTCTGAGATAAGTGGGCAGCCAGCAAACCTGTGACAAAGCCGCATCACAACCTACAAAATCCCAACAATGGAGAAACCACATGTAGAAGGTGAGAGCAGAGGATAACAAACAAGCCAACATGGAGTTAAGAAGTGAGATGCTGTCCCTTGAAAAAACCCTTAGGATTTCAGTGCATAGCTTCAGAAAGGAGATGTATGGTAGATAAATACAGTAGAAGGGAAGTAAGGGTAAAACAAAGGCATGAAAACTGGGCATGGGAGAATGCACCGGAAAATCGGGGAGTTCCCCCCATACAGGCAAAATAGACCCAAAAAACTGAGATTCTAGAAATACACAATCTGCATAGTGGTATGCCAAAGCAAACCGATCTATAGCCCATGGTGGCAAGGCATGCTGGCACCATCAACCAACTGGGAAGCAAAATGTGCAGCATGAACCGTAATATCCAGGAAAAGGGATAAAACATCACATACCTGAGAAATATAGCCCAAAAACGCCATAGGTGGGGCATAGGAAGACACACCAAAATCCGATGGCAGAAAAAGGCTACCAAATCTTCACCAGAACGAACAGGTTCAGATTGTTCATAATGAAGTGGGGCAACATCAGAAGGTTTTTTACCCATATAACGATCAATCTCCTGATGAATAATCACATGACAGGTCTCTCCACCCACAACAATGGCAAAAGAGTGCTCATTGCAAGTGTGAAACTGAAAGTAGTCACATTAACCTCAAAATTCTTTGGAATTACGAAATTAAATAAAATGTTTGGTAGATAATAAAATGTACAAAAAAATGAAGACTGGAAAGTAATTGAAAATAAATTAGTCAGCTGTATAAGCAAAAACGAGTAGAAAAGCATTTTGGCACTAAAACTATTAAAGTTATGATGATGAAGCACACGAGATCAAAATTTGAAACGTCTGAACATGAGCACAGCCAAACGAGAATTAAAGGTTTGGTAAAGGAGTATAGAGGGACTCACATGCATCATGTGAGCATGTCATGCTACTATTGGTTAAGAGACGACACATGGAGACATGGTGGAATATAGTCATTCCAACAAGGGTGAAGTGTAAGGCTTGTGGTACGTATATCGGAATAATGCTGTTGTTGCAAATAAATATGAGGTTAAACAAAAAGTTACATAAATATTTAACACATCAGTCAGTAAAAGCTTTCACCTTACTGAAAGAATAAGTTGATAAGTTATCTGTAAAACATGCAATATGTGGAAAATAATTAAATGAAAACAGACAATAGTTCTTGTCTGAAAAGTACAAAGTCAATTAAAATAAAGTAATATTGAAGATAATGTGAATGAAAGTTATAACTGATAAGTTGAAAATATAGTATCACTCTTTCATTTAATCAAGAAAAATGAGGGAAGAAAGACTACATGACAAATAGAAATAAAGGGTTAAAACAATAAGTGTAAAAATTTAGGTAACTGTTATGAAAAACAACAAACATCTGAAGATAAGTAGTGCCATGGAAAGAATGAGTCTATGTTCAAATGCTGGTGCTCATGTAGCGGAAGCTTTGTTTAAGACTTGTGGCAGTGTGCACGAGGTAATAGCTCTTTATGATGCAGAGAGGTGAGTATCATTTCTGAACTGAAGTCTTCTGAAAGAATATCATTCTTAGACTCCCAAGCTTAGCTAATTAGCAGTCACATTTCCCACTGCTTTCTGTAATAGGTAGTGTAGAAGCTCAATTTAGTTTCAGTCTGTACAATTACATTTAAGTCACAGATGCCACACTTTGTCACAACATCCATAGAATCTTGTATATCCTAATATTAAAATGTTTGTGCTTGTAGATAAACGCGAGATACCAGGATCAGCTGTACATATCATCAGTAAAAATTATGATAGTACTGATTATTTAGTCTGAAAGAGTGCTGTATTCTAATGATCAAAGAAATTATTTTCAACCCAAGTTAATGGCACACAGATTTAAGTATCTACACAATTTACAATGTTATTCATACTTTTTTGTGACACATTTTTCAAGTTGTGGCTGCTATATAAAACAAAATCAATTATGATCGCTGTGCATTTGCCACATACTTAGACTGAACATCAAGCAAGAAAGTATATCCTGAAATTACTGTGGGTCAGTAAAACATATAACTTCAATTTATATAAAATATCTCCTGTCATCAGTGAAAAATTTGAAATGTGGCTAGAATAAAAAAAAAAAGCAACATTTGCATAGTGATCCTAAAGAAAACAAATCCCCTAGCAAGGTCATAAGTTTAATTATAAAAAGTTATACTTACTACTATATGAAGGTGTTATAAATTCTTCATTTTTCAGCAGTTTTATATTTGATGAAGCATTCTGTTCATCATCAGAAAAATGTCCAACATTTGTCCTTAATAGTTCCATGGTGACAACAGCATGCTATACCATCCTCTATACACAGATTATCTGAACCTTGCTAGTTGTCAGAAATGATAGAAAAAGTACACATCAGAATTTGTAAAAGTTGATCCCAACAAAACTGGCAAGTCAAATGGTAACAAAACTCACTATAGTGAATTTAAGTTATAAAAACAGTTTGTGCACAATATGAACCTGTATCTAACTCCTTCTGGTGCCAGATATATTATTAATACTTTTAATATACATATGAATGTATGTGTCAACAAACATGATTGGGTCAGCAAAACTGTAACAAAACAATGTAAAATTATACAATTTATACTAAAGTATAAATTATATCATTTTGCAGTGAAAATGTATGCTGCCATAACACCAAAATACATTAGGAATATTCCATCTATCACACACAATCAAAAGATGTGAAACTAGAAAGCAAGCTACAGGTTCAATAACTTCATATTTATTTAACAAAGACTAACAGTCCAAAATATTTCCTAGATAAATATAACTACTGAAAGTTACAATACCTATGCATTTTTGAAATTTGTGATTAATAATGTAAGTTTTACTACCCTGATAAAGTTTTACTACTAGATACATGAACAATATAATTCGGAAACTAACAAATACCAGTTTTATCTCTGTTGTGAAATACCTAGGCTCTCAACACCACAAATGCTAATCACACTGAATTAGTGTTCAGATAGTAGGAAGATGACTACATACAGAACATCATCAAGCACTTGAAAAAGAATAGCCGAGTTATGAGATTAGAACTTAATCGAAGCAAATTTATTTTTTATAATATGAATATATATTACCCCAAAATGGTGCTGGGCTATTGTTTTATAGAACAATATCAGTCTGGTTGAGTTATATGTGGTAAAACTAAAAACTCTGAGCATATATTTTCTATTACATGAAATTTAACTGTTATTTTGAATTTTAGGCTCTCAATCAGAATTTCAAGATAATAGTTAGTTATACTGTAGAAACCAAGAAAAAATATCTGGACTGTACATATTTACAAAAAGTATATTAGTACTTCAATTGTATAACTATAATATATATAAGTCTAATAGATTTCTTTCAACTGAAATTAAATATGAATTGATGAACTGATTTCCGCCACATGACTAATACAATTATTTTCCCAAATGGCTGAACAAATTCTAACATGATTTACAAATTACAGACCTGTGGTATCGAATTTATTTATTCGAGTGGTATTTGTTAACGCAATGAAAATTAGTTAGGGTCTTGAGTACCCAACTGATAAGTTGAGTGATAACCTTAGGCAGAGTGGTTATTAAAACCTCTTGTTCTTTGATTGGGACTCATAACTAAAACTATTTATTATTCATTGTAATTATAGTATTAGAATTTTAGAGCCCCTTCAGTTAAAAGTTATTCTATAACATGTTCTGACATCTAGTGTTTAAAAATGCATTTAAATTTAAATATAATATTAATATTCAATTATGAGTTTAACAAAGCAATAATAAAGTAGTTTGTTTGTTTGTTTGAATTTATGCATAAAGCTGCACAATGGACTATCTGTGCTCTGCCCAACACGGGTATCGAAACCCGGTTTCTAGCGTTGTAAATCCGCAGACGTACCGCTGTGTCACGGGGGGGCTAATAAAGTTGTATACATGTACTTGCTTATATATTTTGAGGAATGTGTTTAATCTGATTACACGATTAGTTGTAATTAAGAGTCAAAACAATAATAGGACTGACTAGCAAAATTCTGTAACGTTCGTAGACCTAACAGTTAATTAAGAGCTTCTATATTTTAAATTAGGAAAATGTGTTTGCTGTCTTGGATTATTAGTAACTGTAATTCCTTGCTAGTGAATTGAGAATAAACATTGTGGCTGACCATTTAATGCTCCTATCTTGTCCAATAAAAAATCAATGACTGTGTTACTTGTTTTTGATGGTTGTTTACGTACGGAAAACTGGTAATTCATACAGTATAAAACAGTGAAGCTAACTATAAAAGTAGGGTGAAGTGTATTACTTTCAGGTAATTCTGATTTCCCCTAAGATTGGCAAGATAGGTTTGCAAAATAACAGAAAATACGTTAAGATATTTACTGCGAAGTAAAGAAATAAGGAAATTGGGCACAAATGTACGACTATAAAAAACAATATTTGTTGAAACAGATACACTGAGAACGCAGTTTACTTGCCACAACAGACATTTAGTCGCCTTTACAAAGAGAGCTGGGTTTGAAGTTCGTTCTAACTTATTAAGGCTAGGTCATAAGCAAGACAACCCTGTTCATATTGTTACGTCTCTATTTGTTAATTGATTTTCCGTAACTTCGTTCCGACGAAACTTAAGCGACACAAGTCCTTTCTTAATAAAACTGTTGAAGTTGAGTGTATCGGTAAAGTTATATTCGGGAAGAATAAACCAATCGCGCTAAACAAACGCTGTAACGTCTCTCGTGCTCTCTGACTGCAGTTCAATTACTCAATGTCTATACACACATTACATTACCTTCCGCTCGCGTCACGTTGTCCCCTCTTATATATACCAAACTACCCTATATCTAGCAAATACTAGAGCATTCACCAAGATACGGGATAGTTCTAGAAACGTGACGTCACTGTAGTCATGTGATCTCGATGACGCAACAAGACATTTTGATTTATGCCTAAAGAAACTATCCTGTACCTTGGCGAATGCTCTAGCATTTACTAGATATAGGGTAGTTTGGTATATAAAAGAGGGTGACAACGTGACAGAATAGTGTATGTGTAGACAGTGAGTAATTGATCTGCAGTCAGAGAGTATTATTGAGCACGTTCGTTGTTATAGCGTTTGTTTTAGCGC